CTGCAAAGACTCAACGTCAGCCAAGGCGAGTGAGAAAAGGAAGGGTGCGCCGCTCTACATTGTGTACAATTGCGCGTGTGAGTTCTGCATTGGCAATACCACAACTATATCAACAACACGCTCGGTGAGGTGAGCATCTACAACATATCATCGATACCAAACCCTCACGCACATACATACATACATACATATATATATATATGAGCATATATAGGTCGTTTAACGTAAGCACATTGCATGTAAGAATAGCCAACGATGTCACACATGCGGCTGGCGGGTGGCCTTCGGTTCGTGTCATGTTGGTCTGTGGACCGAGGACTCGGAGGCCATCTGGAAGGAGGAGCAGCAGGAGCCGCTGCATTAAGGTTGCTTCCTAAACTTTGTAGGACCCCAAGACACCCCTAGGATATCCAGAAACCCTAAGGAGACAGATACCTTTAACTTCATAAATCAGAAGCCTCTGAAAGGCAAAACTGAAGAGGGCCCCTCCTTCCTTCCGCTCGAATCGCAGGAGCCGGTGGACTGGAGAGACCTCTTGTTGGCACAGGAGAGTTCTTCTGTTGTTCTGAAATTTCACGTCGTTTCCATGTATGACCCTTGTCAAGCGGTCTTCCAGGAGACCTGGGGCATAATGCAGTTGGCCTTGACGCCCGGCAGCAGGTAGCACGAGGATTGCTCAAACAAAGGCGGTCAACAGCGGGATCGCCTGTTGAGGTTACGCTAGGCGTTAGTAAGCAAACGTGCCAAGTTACTCAACATGAATGGCCATTTGTCCACCGTGGTGATGTCGAAAGAACCGTTATGCAGGACTGCGACAACGCTGGGCGATCTGTCTCGGAGCGGTTGGCCCCTGCTGCTCCTTACGAAGGCTCCAGAAGCCCTGGCCTTCGGCCTTGCATTGACCCTTGCCTGTTGTTCTCCACGCCCTGTATTGGAGGCCTTCTACCACTTCTTCGCTGCTCCAAGCACGGTGGTGGAGGCTCCGGCCCTGGCTGTGCTGCGACGCGCTGCGAGCCGCGGTTGCGAGCCGCGGTTGCGGCCAGTGTTGTAAGCCAGGAGCGAGCGAGGCTGGTCAGAGGGAGCCAGGGCCCGAAGGAGAGCGGCCCCGGATCTCCAAAACAGCAAAGCACTGGCAAACTGCGTCAAACGAGGCTCTTTCGGCTGCTGCGCGTCGACGGAACAGCGGACACGAGGATTCAGGAGAAACAGAGTCCGGCATCACACGTGAGCAGGGCATGGCTTGTCGTGGGGAGGTTCCCAGCGCACAGCACCAAAGAGGCATCGAAGCTATCGGCTAGAGCCATTGGAGTCTGTGTGACTGTGTGACTTTGCCAGTGCTGACCGCGCTGGCAGCGACCGTCGGCGGGTCGTTAGCGCGGCCAGTGGTGGCCCTGGCTTTGGCACCGAGCTCGGCTGCAGAGGAGCCGCCTTTTTCGCTCCGATTTGTCGGCGGAGTCTAAGGCAGAGCTGCAACATGGCGACGAAGACCGGCCATCTTGCCAGCAAAGGTCTGAGGGAATGATACACCGCAGCACGGGTTTGAACCGTGTTGCCTATGCGGCTCTATAAGCCTTTGCCTCTCCGACGGGAGCCCGAGGCAAAACGCCTTGACAAAGGAGCTGTCGCAAGCTGCGGCAGACATCCTGGGCGAGGCCGCTTCCACTCACGTCGAAGGGGGTCTGTTTTTGGAGAGAAGGTGCCGAAGATCCACCACCTGACCTTCGGCGTTTTTCCCGCAGGTACCCCAAGACGTCACGTCATGCCCATAGCAATCTAGGCGCTTTAAGGCATCCGTTTCTCAACCCCGCACCCTCACATCCAAAGTGAACAAGACACAGTACTTGAGTCCTATCCTCCCCACATCTCGAACCCTGGAGCCCACGAAATGGAAAGCCAACCACTTTCTGTCAAATAAGGTGGTTCCTTTTAGTTTGTTGGTTTTACTCTCTTCAGCCTTCAATCAAGGCAATTCTTTTCAAACTGCTGTCTATGAAAATCAAAAAAAGTGCTTGGAGTCTACACACACAAATCTATGTAGGCTGGGGATTTACTTAAGTTTCACCAACAACGCAGAGCCATGGCGATTTGCGGCCCTGCCAGGACGACGCCGCTGATCCGTTTTGCTAAGTCGCTAGACCAGGCGGATGTGGACGAGGAGGAATGCACCAGCTTCTTCCCTATGTACGTGCTGCCTGTGAACACGTTTCTCCAGATGGACAAGGTGAAAACGCATGAGGAGCTCAGGGCAGATGGATCCATAGTAGAGTTTGTCGCCAGCATGGGGCAGACAGCATTTGTCTCGCATCAATGGGTCCGGCACGACCATCCAGATCCAGAGTTTTGCCAACTGCGAGTTCTGCGGAATCTACTGGGTGCATGGATGGCAAAGCCGACCTACATCTCGCCGGACTTCGCCACAGTGGCACTCTTGCCATTTGCCAAGGGCGTCTCCAGCAAAGAGCTGTTCTCGAGGCCGTTGCATTTGTGGTACGACTTCTTTTGCTGTCCGCAGATGTCAGATGCAGGTGAGGAGTTGGCCAAGGCCATCGACAGTATTCCAGCCTACGTCGCCAGATCACGTTTCTTTTTTGTTCTCTTTCCAGTCGTGCGCAGTTCAGAAGAAAACAAGCTCCTGGGCTGTATTTCATTCTAGCTTCTAGCTTCTTCAGAGTACGAGTTCAGGATTCCTTTTTCACCTCAACACTAAACCCTAACCCTAAATCCTAAACCACCCTAAGCCCCAAACCACCCTAAACCCTAAACCACCCTAAACCATAAACCAGACTAAACAACCCTGAACCACCCTACACCCCACAAACTAACCCTTAGTTTGATCTGTCCGGTCATTAGCCGAAGCTGAGGATCATCAGCCCTGCGACTTGGGCGGCGCGTGGCTTGGATTTGCTGCAGGAACCCCTCCCAAAATAGAAAACAATCCCTTACTAACCCTTTTAAAAAGGAAAGCCAAAGGAACACATAAGAATACTCTTAAGCAAACCCAAGGTGGCTGGTGCAGGTTGGAGAGAACAATGCGGGCGCTTTCGTTGAACCCATCCTATATTGTGATCAAGAGCGAATTCTGCGTGGAAGTTGTCGCGTGTCAAATTGCAGCGTTTGGAGGAGGTCCACCTGGCGAAGGTATGTTTACAATCCCTGCAGATCGTTCCAAGCTCGCGCCCGTTCTGCGAGGAGCTGTCACACGGAGCCTTATGCTCAGCTTGAGAGCACTAGACCTAGTGCGCTACCGGATATTACTCAACTTGCAGAACTTTTTCTTGCGAGGTCTTTCGGTCGAGCCTGTAGCTGACCTTGTCCCAGCCTTTGAACCTCTGCCTGGTGCAGATGCGACGTCATATCTGGTGGCCAAGTTCCTCTACCAGAATGGTTTCACGAAGGTGCGCAGCGTCGACGCATCGGGGTGCTCGCCACTATGCTATGCTGCCATGAACGGGGACCCAGAGTTGATCGATGCTTTGCTAGCGCACCAAGCCGACCCGAATGATTTCGTCCGGAGGGTGAGCAGCAAGGGAGGCTTTCCGATGTTGATGTCTGTCGCAAGCATGTGCGCAAGCTTGGGCAACAACGATGCCATGTGCCGGCTGATGGCCGCAAGGGCCGATGTCGGCGGTGCGTTTCCAGCAATTTGTTCGGCAGCAGACAGTGACAATGCAAAAGGTGTTCATATTTTGTGCCAGTGCAACAGCCCTGACATCCGTGATGTATACGGCATGAGTGCCCTCGATCATGCATGTGCCAGTGGCTCCGTGGCTGCTGTAGAGCAGCTGCTCATCCACACCAGGCCGACAGGTTGAGCGGAGCCCTCCATAATGCTGTATCTTGCACGGGAGGCTCTGCAGAGATTGTAGAGCTTCTGCTCGAAGCCCGTGCAGACATCAATGAACCATATGTTGTTCAGACAATACCAGAGCGGCTGTTTTTGTTCTTTCACAGCGTCCGGTACCAGCTTGGAAGAAGGACACCCACGACCACCCTCGCCTACTATGCTGAAGGAAGCACGCCGCTCATGCTGGCAGTGATTGCTGGGCAGTACGAGTGTGCCGCAGCACTGATAGCGGCAGGGGCCCCGCTGAACCCGCGGAACCGGCGGAACCAGACGGCAAAAGATTTAGCCAACCATCTGCCGCTGCCAGATTTCTTGCGCAAAGCTTTAGACGGAAGGCAGGACGAATGCCGAGAGATAGCAGCCCTGACCATGCTACATCATGAAGCATTTTGACCGACAGCCGTAGACGTGGTGGCTGGTGGGGCTTTCATGGAGAGTTTGACCCCGCCCTCTGAAATGTTTCACGCCTGTACCATGATGCTAAATGTGCACTCTGCGCAGCCCTTAATCCAACTCAAAAGTGATCCTCAACCCAAAAGACGCGGGCATGGGTTTGGCTTTAGACTGAGTTTTTCAAGCATGACGCCAATCGTGCGCTCTGCAGACAGCTGGGATGCAACTCAATCGGTCTAATGAGTTTCCCATCTCTTGAGCCCGCTGTTGCAAACTGCCCAGAATATCTCAATTTTCGGAAGCAGCCCGCAGATGAATATGGCGTAGATTTTGTCGAGGGACCTCACAAGTGCTTGACCAGCAGCTGCTTCCTTCTTGGTTTTTGTCTGGCTCTCTGTGACTACAGAATGAGCAATCACAGGCAAAGTTGCCTCTTCAAACCATCGGACCTGCGAAGTGGGGTGTCAAGGGATAAATTGTGCCGGGGGGGGGGGGGGGGNNGGGGGGGGGGCATCTGTACAAGAACAACGGATAAATACTAAAATAGGCTATAGCCTTTTCCCTTAGGGGCACCCTTACTCCTATAGTACTTGTGGGTGTTTTGTAGGAATCATGCAAAACTTCCAGAAAACTTTTTTCAAAGGCAATACGGTAGCGTTCCTTCAGATACTTATTCGACACCTAGGCGCCTGATATCTTATGCCTATGCAATACCCAGGAGTTTCTTGGTGCTAACCTAAGGCTCAGGCTTATCATGGGTAGAGTTCTTCGCCTCAAACGCAAAGCCCAGCCCAAAAAACGCCCTCCCCCACCCCCCTCCCCCCCCCGCGAAACAAACAACAAGAAAAGCCCCTTCCTTTCCCCCCCATCCGCCAAAAAAGAACAGGAAACACCACTCTGTTTCAAGTGCCGTGCCTTCGGCCACGGCCCCGCGCTGCAGTCACCTGGAGGACTGCGGAGCTCTCAAGTCTGCAGTTGAGTGTATCACATGCGGATGGAGATGTGTCGTGGCGAGTTGCTAAGCCCTAGTGCGACGGAGGCCGTGAGATGCATTGGGGCGCGTGTGATCGGCAGTACATGTTGCCGTCGCCTGTTGTGCTTCACAGCATTTTGCTGTAGCTAGCTGAGAAGCGTGAGTGTCCCTCGCCCAGAGCAGATGACCTGGGTCTACAACTTCGGTGGGGGAAAGGCGGATGGCCGCGCCGAGATGAAGAACTTACTCGGCGGCAAGGGTGCAAACCTGGCGGAGATGGCGTCCATCGGCTTGCCCGTCCCTCCCGGCTTCACTCTGACGACCGAGATATGTACGTATTATTACCAGAACGGCAACCAGTACCCTGCCGATCTTCAGGAGCAGGTTGCGAAGGCCCTCGCACTGGTGGAGTCCAGGACAGGCCGCAAGTTCGGGGACGCCACCAACCCCTTGCTGGTGTCCGTGCGCTCTGGAGCTCGCGCTTCGATGCCGGGCATGATGGATACTGCGCAGGACTCAGCTGCTGTTAGGCACCTCGGCATGCTTGCGGCTACCAGGGGAACAGAAGGGTCTTGTGCTGCGTGCTTTTTCCCAGGGCAGAAGGCTATCCTCGCAGCCTGTGATTCAGGTGCTGAACCTCGGCCTCAACGACACCACTGCGGAGGTCACTTGCTTGAAAAGATGGCGTAGAGGAGGGCGTGTCTTTGCAAGTAAGAACTTCTTTGATACTTCATCAGAATCATCTGTTTCTCCGTGCATCGATTTGAGAGCATCGGCTCCTGAGGCTTTGGCCAAGAAGTCCGGAGACCGCCGCTTTGCTTTCGACAGCTACCGCCGCTTCGTGCAGATGTACAGCGACGTCGTTGGGGGCCACAGTTGCAACAGCAAAGGGAGCTTAAGAGCAGGGCAGGTTAGCAAGCGTTCGGTAGGTTTCAGCGTGTGTCGGAGCTTCGATGGAGAAGTGACGTTCTTTGCGAAGGTCCTTGGCGTGGAGCTCAGTCACTTCGAGAAGCTGCTGGAGCGCGCCAAGCAAAAGCGGGGCGTCAAGCAGGACCATGAGCTTCTGGCGGAGGACCCGTCAGAAGAAGCTGCGATGAAAGACCATCCGCAAACCTGAAGAGTGTGTCTACAGAGCGGAGCTTTCGGTGTAGGACGTTCTGCGTGAGAGTGCGCAGCAGTGGCGTCGACCCCGACCCTGTTTTTTTTCTAGGACCTGGAGATGCTGGTGAAGCAGTACAAGGCCTGCGTCCAGCTGGAGTTGGGCGAGGATTTCCCGGAGGATCCCCACAAGCAGCTCTGGGGCGCCGTCGGTGCCGTCTTCGGGTCTTGGATGAACCAGCGCGCCAAGACCTACCGCAAGCTGCACGACATCCCGGAGGAGTGGGGCACCGCGGTGAACGTCCAAGCCATGGTCTTCGGCAACATGGGTGGAGACTGTGCAACAGGTGTCGCCTTCACGCGCAATCCTTCGAACGGCGCCAAGGACTTCTATGGCGAGTTCCTGATAAACGCGCAGGGCGAGGACGTCGTGGCCGGCATCCGCACGCCGCAGGAGCTGACGATCCAGGCCCGCAAGTCGCATGGCAGCGACCTGCCGTCCCTGGAAGAGGCGATGCCCAACATCTTCAAGGAGCTCAACGGGGTGAGGCTCCAGCTGGAGAACCACTACAAGGACGCTGCAACGCCCCGTTTTTCTTTTCTTTCTGGTGCGACAAAGTGTAGGTCTTTGGAAGGTTGCTCGTCACTGATGTGTCTTTGCCGGGAGCTCGAAAATCATGGGCATCAGTGCCGAGTCCTGGGGCGCATGTCTCGAGTGCAATTCCACTTTAGTGATGTACCACGGGGTGCGACTTCCTCACAGGGTGCGACTTCATACCAGTTTTTGGTGCGTTCAGGTGGTCACTGTAGCATGTGCGAGTTGTTAAAGGCGTGTTGGAGGAGTTATGTGTGAAGTCGCATGCATGCGGCAGCGCAATGCAGGGACACCGCTTAGCGCATTGCCGATCCATTCGCTCTCCTTATCTTTGGGCATAGCGTTCAAGTTGTTTTAAGAGGGCGCGTGTCGTCTTGGCAGTGCGGTCCTTCGAGGCCGCTTGTCATTTATAACCATTCACACACTCCGTGAGGACATGCAAGATATCGAGTTCACCATCGAGCAGGGCAAGCTGTACATGTTGCAGACACGAACCGGCAAGCGCACAGCGCACGCCGCCTTGCAAATCGCAGTGGACATGGCCAACGAGGGCTTGATCTCCAAGGCGCAGGCGTTGATGCGCCTCAAGCCTGACCTGATCGACCAGTTGCTGCACCCTACTCTCGACCCAAAGGCGCCCAAAAACGTGATCGCCAAGGGCCTCCCCGCTTCGCCGGGTGCGGCTGCCGGAAAAGTCGTCTTCTCCGCAGACGAGGCGGTGACCCGCTCGGAGAATGGGGAGAAGGTGATCTTGGTGCGGATCGAGACGAGCCCAGACGACATCCACGGCTTGCATGCAGCGGAAGGCGTGCTGGTCTCAGCGTCCTGGAACCTGGCTTTCTCGTTCAGGGTTCCAGGTTTTAGCGTTCAGGGCTTAGGCTTCTTAGGGCTATAAGGCCAAGGGTTTTAGATGGTTTTAGTTTTGTTGGTTTCTTTCGAGGTGCATGTGCGAGCTCGGCATTCGCGGGTTTTTGGGTTCGACGTTGGTGCAACATGGCAAGCTGATGCACTGCAGATTCCTGCGTTTCCCAAACAGCAACGTTACATGCAGCGTTGAGATTCTTGTTCGTTTGATGTCGCTCGAGGTGCTGACTACGCGAGGAGGCATGACGAGCCATGCTGCGGTGGTGGCGCGCGGCATGGGACGCCCGTGCGTAGCTGGGGCGGGGGACGTGAAGGTGAGCTACGCATCGTCCTCCTTCACGGTGGGCGATGTGGTGGTGAAGCAGGGAGAGATCATCACCATCGATGGCGTCACGGGACAGGTGATGCTCGGCGAGGTCCCGACGGTGCCTCCGCAGCTGTCGGGCTCGTTCGGCACCATCATGTCGTGGGCCGACGAGTTCCGAACGATGCAGGTGAGGGCCAACGCCGAGACGCCCACCGACGCTCGCCAGGCGGAGGGTTTCCGCAGGTCCATGCACAAACCCAGACCTCCATATGGTACGAGCAGCCACGACGTGGATCCATCCCAAAAAACCCGGATCACTACACTCACAGCCTGGCCCAGATCTTGCCCCCAGGCCAAGGAGTTCGGGGCCCAGGGCATCGGCCTGGTGCGCACGGAGCACATGTTCTTCGAGGGCGGCAGGACGGGATGCCGTGGCCTGTGCGTCCCGGCCGTCCCGGGTTCGGGTTCGGGCGCATAGGGCGAGGTCGACAGGTGAGGCTTCCGTTGTCGTGCTGTGGCCGCTGTTTCGGGGGGGCTTGGTTGGATGGTGTCGTGGGATGCACTGGCTTCTCATGTGTTGCACGACATGAGTGCCGCTGTTCTTTGAGGGCTTTGCGTATTTCGCAGGATAGTCGCGATGCGCCAGATGATTCTGGCGGCCGACAAGAGCGATCGGCAGGCGGCGCTGGACAAGCTGCTGGCCATGCAGCGGGAGGACATCGATCCCTAAACCCTAAACCCTCGGATCGCCAAGTTCTATGACTCTGTCTAGTCAGGGTTTGGGCGGCGACGAGCCTCTAGGGTACGGCACCCTGTGGTCTCACTATGAAAAGCGTGAAAATCGGGAGGACATCGTTGAACTCTTCAAGATCATGGACGGGCTGCCAGTGACCGTGCGCCTGCTGGATCCCCCGCTGCACGAGTTCATCCCGCACACGGAAGCCGAGATGGCTCTAGTGGCCAAGGCCGCCGCGGTGCCCATGGACCGGGTGCGCAGGAGGGCTGCTGAGCTGCAGGAGGCCAACCCCATGCTGGGCCATCGAGGCTGCCGACTAGCGATCACCTATCCCGAGATATGCGAGATGCAAGCTCGCGCGATCTTCGAGGCTGCCGCGGAGGTTGGCAAGACGGCCAAGAAGACGCCCATCGCCGAGGTGATGGTGCCGCTGGTGTCCACGCTGGAGGAGCTCGTGCTGCTCAAGGGCGTCATCCAGAAGACGGCAGCTCGGTGCGGGTGTTTGACAGAGGGCTTCGTTGTCGTTCCGAGTGTCGTTCCCTGTATCGGCCTCAGGCTCGTGTTGAACGCAGCGCTCGTGTGCGTAGCCACCTAGGCGGAAGCGGTGCAGAAGGAGCTGGGTACGAAGTTCACGTACCACGTGGGGACCATGGTGGAGCTCCCCCGCGCCGCCCTGCAGGCCGGGAAGCTGGCGAAGGAGGCCGAGTTCTTCAGCTTCGGCACGAACGACCTCACGCAGACCACGTACGGACTCAGCCGGGATGATGCGGGCACCTTCCTGCCTGAATACAAGGCCAAGGGGATAGTGGAGCAAGATCCCTTTGTGAGCCTGGATCAGGAGGGTGTGGGTGAGCTGATCAGCATGGCCGTTGAGCGCGGTCGCGGGACGCGCTCGGGCATGAAGATGGGCATTTGCGGAGAGCACGGTGGAGACCCAGCCTCGATCGAGTTCTGCGAGAAGGCCGGGCTGGACTACGTCTCGTGCTCGCCCTTCCGCGTGCCCATCGCCAGACTCGCCGCGGCCCAGGCGGCCCTGAAGTCTCAGGGCGAGAAAGCGCTGCAGTCCTCCACCAAGCCCACGAAGCCGAAGCCGAGGCAGCAGAACTTCGGGCCTTGGTGATGGCGAGCCCTAAAGCCAGTCTTACGGAGTCTTACGGCTTTTACCGATACCTTTTAAGATTTCAAGAGATGCAGCTTTCAAGAAATGCGTTTCGGACTCTTTAAACGTGCGCTCAACGTAGCGCGTTTGGCCTCCAGACCCCTTTTATACAGGAGGGCGCGGGACCCAAGAAAGGTCCGGCCCGAGGGCTTGTCTGGACCCCCCAGTTTTGCGCGAGAGACCTCGGCTGCGGAGGCCTGTATACCTTGTGGTCAGGCGGGCGCAAGCTCTTGTCGTTGCGGCAACAAGCGCGTGTCTTTCTGCCTCCTGCTCTTCTGCTGTGCCAGCGCGTGCCATGTGATCCAATGCGTGGGCTAGTTAACCCAGATCGTGTCAAGACCTCAAGCACGTAAACCCACCTGGACACTCACCTTGACGTTTGCACCTGCCCGAAGCCTAAACCGACTCGCTGAACCAGCGACCTGACAACAGAAACGTAGGCGCCCGAAGCTTTAGACCATCTTCCCAGCAGGCCAATCGGCATGACGGCGCCAGGCCGCCCCTCACTTTCTTTCTTCGAAAGAATTGTTTATTTTCCTGCAGATGGGTGGAGGTTGGTTGTGGCTTTGGGCGGCTTTTTGTGTGATTCTGGGCTTGTAGGGTTCATGCTTTCTTGGCTTTTTGCGGTTTGGGTTCACCTTCCTGTCGGGATGACCGTAACCAATGTCCAGTGCTTCTGGGGAAGGCCTTCGCGCACTGGAGACCACAACCCTATGCCGTACTATGCGTTTTTTCTCCAAGGACGGCGGAGCTGAACCAGCTTCAGATCGAGGTCGAGAGCTTGGAATCCCAGATGTCCGCTTGGTTTTCAGCCCGCAAGACGACGTCAAGTCTTGGTCCCGGGGTGATCGGGGGCCCCTGCGTACGCAGCCGTCCTTTGACGCGCTTCGTCAGGCGAGCAAACCGGAACTTGCATAGGTAGTAAAGATGGATGACGTCACCCAAGCGGTGCAAGACGAGCTCGTGAAGAGCCTAGATTACAAGCTCGGAAGCTCCAATGTGAACTATGTCCAACCACCTCCAGGGTTGCGAACGTTCGGAACGAAATAGGAGTAGGCATGTCTTCTTCGTTTTCATCATTCGAGGGATTCGCAAAACATGTGGAAACATAAAAAACAATTCAGCTCGGGCTCACAAAGTTCGCAGCCGGACTCAGGTCACATCCGTGTAGCGAGCAAAATGCTCTGCCTGGCATGTCTAGGCCTCATGGTGGTCAACCTTGCGGAAGG